CACAAAAAAAAAGCATACAGGTCGGTGCGAGTGGAATATATGAGCTCGCGCACGCCCTTATGACATAAGCGAGAGGTGACGACGGAACTAACATACTGCGCTGTCTCGAGAGTAATAGTAAAGTAAACACACACACAATTGGCGCGTTACACTGGGGGGTTCACATTTGTCCCGGGTCCTTGTTGTCGTGTTGTCATCAGCTGGCGGTTTGTTTCGTTGGCATTTACAAACCAGAGATGGCCCCAAGAGCGTCGCCATCAACCCGGCACAAGTCGCAGGTGCCCCGCCGCTGTGTGTTCCTCAGGGGTGCTGCCCTCGCTTGCTTGAATGACTTAATTTTTCACGTGTACGTCACCCCTTTGGGGTTTTTTGGCCCCTGAACCTCACTTGCCCCCCCCCCCCCACACACACACACACACACATAATCGCAACAGAGAAAGCGCGGGCACACGCCGCCCAGGCCGTGACTGCCGCACGCGAGCCGAAGCGCGCCGCCAACGAGAGCATGCCGCTCGCCGAAGTCGACGCCGCGGCAACCACGCACTGATGCGGTGTTGGTAGCTGCACACTCATCCGTCCACCGCCCCGTTAGTTGACTGTCACTGTGTTGTTGCCTTTCCCTTCCTTTCTTCTTTCGATACCCCTGCACTGGCTTGTTCTGCTTTCAATCTGCTTCACTTTTCCCTCGTTCTTCGCTGATCCCATCATACCCCAGCACAGAAAGCCTCGTAGCACATTCGTTCTTCTTCTTCTTCCGTGTTTCGTTGTCGTGTCGACATGACACTGTGTCTTGTTGTCTTCTTGCTTGCTTCTTGTTGCGCTCTGCTTTTGATTGAACTGCTTCATGCCACAACAACAACAACACACATACACACACACACACACTCCCTCCCTCTTTCTCTCTCTTCCACACATCCACACGCGACATTTGTCCCTTCTCTTCACCGTTTGCTTTGCGTTGACCACCGCCTTTTTGTGTGTTGATTTGACCCAATAAACGTGCATGTTCACAGCCGCAACAGCTGCAGCTCACGTGTTCAGTGTACGTGTGTGTTCGTTTACTTCCGGGTCGCCACATAGAGCGATGCATGCAACGTGGGCACCATCCATCAATTGTGCGCAGTGTGAAACAGCAACAATGCAGGCGTGGGGGTTGGGAAGAACAAGCAAGACAGCGTACAGCCTGCGTGCACGCACACACAACAGCACAAAGCCAGAACAAGCTCATCCAATCCACACGCTGCCAGCACAGCCACAATTGCACACAAGGCATGCACACAGAGACAAAAGGTACGCCACACAGCAGGAGCATCATGAGGCAGCCGCGGAGATACAAAAGTGTTGGATCAGACAGAAAGAAAGAAGAAGAGAACAGTGAAGAGGGCGTGTACACGGAACAGCAGGCAAGTGCCATGCCAAACAACAGCAATGCAGAACAAAGCTGGGAGACACGGACATTGCAAGTGAACGCGCCGTTGTGTTGTTGTTGCTGTTGTTGCTGTTGTTGTTGTTGTTGTTGTTGTCAGAGGTGGGAACGTGGGCCAGCGTGCAGCTGCGCTTGCCGCTGGCGTGTGCTGGGCTGAGCGAGTCAGAAGTTGTCGCCCTTCCAGAGGCCGTGGAGGTTGCACAGGCCATATGGGGTGTAGGACTTGCCCTCCTGTGGCTCAAAGGCGAGCACAGCCTCGGCGTCCGTGGGCGCAAACTTGGCGCATGCGGCCACCTCGCCCTCGCTGTCCATGACGAAGACAAGCTCGATCCAGTGGTTCTCGGCGTCGCTCTCGCCCTTCTTCATCACGTGGGGGACCTGTGACAAGAGAGAAGGGGGCAGAGAGAGAGAGAGAGAGGGGGGGGGGAGGGGGTGGTTTGGTGAGACATGGTTACTGAAGGTGACAACCAGGCAAGGACGGATATGAACATGCAAGACACTCACACTCACACACGCGCGCGCACGCACACGCACACGCACACACATACATACACATGCACACACAGACATACACACGCACACACGCACACACGCACACACACACACACACGCACACAGACACGCACACACGCACACACACACACACACACACCTTGACTTTGGTCTTGCCGTCGTCGGTCTTCTCCGTGACAGGGACATGGGAGCCCTGCTTGCCCTCCCACTTGCCGGGAGCGTCGCGAGTGAACACCTCGCCGCCAACAAGCTCCTTGCAGCGCTTCACCCACTCAGCAGGAAGGTCAGACATCTTTGCAACGCTGGTTCGGTCGACAAAACAAAAGCAAGGCAAGAGAGAAGCTGTGTGTGGTCGTTCGTTCGTTGATGCAGCAGTGGAAATGGCGATGAATGACGCTTCGTATTGGTTGTGGTGCACTGGCTGGCAGCGGTGCAGCAACAATTTTTTTTTTTCATTTCTTTTTTGTTTTGGTTTTCGTGATTGGGCACGACGATTGCATAAAGTTTTGCGCGAAGAATCGCGAAGTTGAAAATTGGTGGATGTTGTTCGTATTTTATCTACAACCGAGCACCGTCAAGCAGAAGAAGCGATGGGAGAACGACAGCGACGGCCAATGAGGAGTGAGTGTTGTTGTGCTGTCGTGGCTTGTGGTTGTGGTGGTGGTTGTGTTTTCCTCCCTCCATCTCCATCATCTCTCCTCTCCTGTTCTTCTTCTCTGCTTCTTGTCTGCTTCGTCTGACTGATGTTGGTGGCGCGATCGCTGCGGTGGGGAAGGCCGCAAGCCTGCCTTTTCTTGCCAAGACTTTTCCTTGCGACACACCGCGATGCAGCAAACCTGCCACCACCACAACACGGACACCACAAACAACACCAGCAACAACAACAACAACAGCAACGAGAAGATGAACGAGAACACGCGTCATGTCACCAACCACAACCACAACCACGACCACAACCACACCCGTGTGAATCTGCTGCAGGGTCCTCATCGGTCGGGGATTGCCTGGTGTTGGACCAAGTGGCCAACTTCCGCGACCTGTCCGAGGTTGCCCCGGCCATCAAGGTTAGTGTCCGGGCAGTGTTCTGATGTCTGTTGGCGTTGCTGTTGTCGCTACGTTTGGCATTGCTCTCACGTCGTCACAGCAACAACAATAGGAACGGCGTCAGCTTTGTGCTCTCGCGCGTCTTTGACGCACACACACTCACTCACTCACAGTTACACACACACACACTCACTCACTCACTCACTCACATGCGCACACTCACTCACTCACTCACTCACTCACATGCGCACACGCATGCACACTCTCACTCACTCACTCACTCACTCGCTCACTCACTCACTCACTCACTCACTCACCCACACACGTGCAGCCCAACACAGTGTACCGATCTGCAACACCAAGTCAAGCTTCAGAACAGGACCTGGAAATCTTGATCCACCGCCTGGGCATCATGGTAATATCACAAACCCTTCTCTGTCGCGTCCAAGCAAGCTCGTCACAGCCTGCTTTCCCCGCCCCAAACAACGATTGTGCATCGTCTCACTGTGGTCCAATGCTTTCCTTCCTTCCACGTATGTGCCGTGCCGTGATGTGATGTGATGGGAATCAGACGGTGGTGGACTTTCGGGAAATTGACGAAGCAGAGCGCGACGATGGTGATCGCGTCATTGTCAAGCAGTTTCCAGAGGTGAGGAATGTGTGCGTGTGTGTGTGTGTGTGCGTGCGTGTGTATGTATGTGTGTATGTATGTATGTGTGTATGTGTGTCTGTGTGTGAACACACACACATGGTATGTGTGCTTGCAATGTGTGCACAGTGTGTTGCTTGATTGCGGTGCGAGTTAATGAGTGCGTGCCTCACACAGCTAACGCCGTCGCCTCCCTCTGCTGGGTGCACGTCCAGGCTGCAAAGCGCCACCACCGCCGCGGCCTTCGCGAGCGCATGTCTCGTCGCTTCCGCAACTCCCACCGCTCCCGGCACGCGCACACACCCCACCTCTCCACAAGCAGCGACGCGGACCACGACCAGGAACAACACCAGCAGCAGCAACAGCACCAGCAACAACAACAACAGGATGATAAGAGCTTGCGGAAAGCGCGCAGTGTTGATAGTCATGACGATGACGACGGCGATGGTAACGACAACACCCATGGAGATGCGGACGGCCACGATCCCAAGGACATCTCTGTTGAAGAGGTGTGGGTGTGTGTGTGGGTGTGTGTGGGTGTGGGTGTGGTGTGAGTGTGTGGGTGTGCGTGTGTGTGTGTGTGTGTGTGTGTGTGTGTGTGTGTGTGTGTGTGTGTGTGTGTGTGTGTGTGTGTGTGTGTGTGTGTGTGTGTGCGTGTGGGTGTGTGTGTGTGTGTGTGTGCGTGTGGGTGTGTGGGTGTTCGTGGTTTTATGTGTTCGTGAGTTTATGTGCGTGTGTTCGTGGTTTCAAGTGTGTGTTCTTCCCTTTCTTGTTTCTTCTTGGTTTGCCCTGCCACGGCCTTCGTAACACACTACCACCAACACCCCCAACACCACATGGGCAGCTGACGGCGTCGCAGCGGCGGCTTGTGCGGCTGCCGTATGTCCCGCGCAGCAAGATGAAGGGCGTGGTGATGAAGATGCTCAGTGCAAAGCAGATGGCCAAGATGGGCATGTACTACATGGCTGGCGCCGTCCTCTTCAAGCCATCCTACTTTTCCCGCGCAAAGGGATCGGTGCGTGTGTGTGTGTGTGTGTGTGTGTGTGTGTGTGTGTGTGTGTGTGTGTGTGTGTGTGTGTGTGTCGTCGTCGTCGATTGCCATGGGGGGTTGACTCAATTGTGTGGGGCCCGCAAAAGGTGCGGAGGAGTCGATAAAAAGACGATCCATCCAATTTAGTTGCCATATCTGATCATTCTGTACAAGAAAACCCCCACAAAACTTCTTACGAGAGTTCAGTGTTCTATATTCATTACCATGGCTAAGCGCGTATGCGATTTTCTCGTCGCCTCAAGGAGGAGAGACCTCTCTCGTTTCAGTAGGGTTTTAGCCGACACCCCGGTGTGTGTGTGTGTGTGTGTGTGTGTGTGTGTGTGTGTGTGTGTGTGTGCTTGCCGAACGTAACTGATTCGAGCCAAGCTTGCGCCTGTGTCGCTCACGACTCACACAACGACACACACACACACACACACATGTGGTGTTCAGACGTGCGCAACCACCCGATTGTGATCCACTGCTCGCACGGCAAAGACCGGACGGGTCTGAGCGCAGCGCTGATCATGGGCGCCGTCGGTGTTCCGCGCAACGAGATTGTGCTCGACTACTCGCTCTCCGACGAATACGGCAGCAGCGAGGAGGGCAGGGGCAGGTTTGCGGTGAGTCACGTGATGGTTATTGTATGTCTGTGTGTGTATGACTGTGTGTGTGTGTGTATGTGTTTGTGTGTGTATGTGTGTGTATGTGTTTGTGTGTATGTGTCTGTGTGTGTGTGTTGTGTGTTTGTGCGTGTCCCACTTTTGTGTACATTGCCCTCGCTGTTCGCTGTCCCTACTGGAACCTCTCCCTCCTCCCCCCCCCCCTTCCTCATCATCATCATCAATTGCCACCATCCACGATGACCAGAGTGAGGCGCCCCAGCTTGACCCGGAGGAGTGGGCGCGGGCCAAACCGGAAACCATGGAGAAGACCCTCGACTACATTGACGAAACCTACGGGTCCATTGCAGCCTATCTGGAGCACATTGGGTTTGATCTGCAGTGGCAGGCGACCCTCCGTGACGCTCTGCTCATGTCAAAGCACGAGCAGCCATCGACGCTGTTGCGCAAGCTCCGCGTTGGCAGCTCACGCTATCGTTCACCGCGCTCCCCTCTCGACCTCTCGCAGTCGCAGACGAGCGACTTTGACATCCCAGAAGGCGACGAGTGCGACGGCAACAACGGTCACGCCAACGCAGGTGCAGTGGACAGCAACCGGCTGTCGCCCGTGAGCGCTGCGAGGACGATGGAGTTTCCCGGAGGTTCCCAGTCGGTGCAGACGCCGCACACGGACGGACGGGCCAGTGCGCCCCCACTTTTGAATCCGCAGGCTGCGATGGCTGCTGACCAGGACACGCGCGCCTCCATGCAGCCATCGTCGTCGTCATCATCGTCCATGGCAACCATCACGCCAACGGCACCCAGCACCGACAAGGCGACGGACACAGCCGTGAGGAACACAACTGCACCACCACCATCAGCAGCAGTGCACGCAGACGGAAACACGAACCGCCACCACGCTCCCCTCGTCAGCGTCACCAGCGCGGATGATGATGATGATGATGAAGGTGATGTTGGTGGTGATGGTGATGATGGTGATGGTAGTAATGAGCTTTCAGGGGCTAGGTGCGATCAAGTGTAACAAGAGCTGCTTGTATTTGCCCTGTTGCTGCTGCTGTTGTGTTTTTCGTTTTATTTTGAGACTGCACAACGAGTTGCCTGTTGTGCGTGTGCGTTTATGTTGAGCCGTGTTGATTCCTGATGATCATGCTTTGCGTTGATCATTGCAGTGACGCGTTTTGACAAAGACATGTGCGTATGTGTGTGTTTGTGTGCACGTGTGTGCTCTTTCCTTGAAATTCATGCTGCTTGCCCATTAAACGACCAACAACAACAACAACAACAACAACAACCACAACAACAACAACAACAACAACAACAACAACAACAACAACAACAACAACAACAACAACAACAACAACAACAACAACACTGAGAAGCGTATTGTCGTAAGTTCGCGCGCGCGTTCATTGCTTTCTCAAGAGAACAAGCACCTAAGACAACTGACTAAATGGGTAATGCATAGCAAGGGTAAACCTCCCTAATGGCTTGCATACAGTGATTCAAATGCAAAATAAACTCAACTCAAATGAGAAGGGGTGAAGGAAGGAGGAAAGAAGGAAAGAAAGAAAGAAAGGAGGAAACTGCAGTCCACAACGAAGGAAACGCAACATAAAGGAGAGAAGGAGCAAGCACAACAGACGCAGGCGGCATTGCAGAAATAAATTATGCTCCAACAAAGCACGGGGAACGAAACAAACACGTGGCCATAAACGAGCACTACAAGACAACCGCCACTTTGATATCAGCTCGACGACGCAGACACCGACATCGCTTCCTGCTGATCATCGTGTGCAAAGTCATGCTCAGAGTGCACGTGATGATGCACCTGTACCTGTTGTTGTTGTTGCTGCTGCTGCTGCTCGTCTTGCTGTGCTTCGTGCAGCACTCCAACTTGCGCCGCCACCGCTGCCTCTGCTGCTTCTTCGCCATCTGCACCCTCCGCACCGTCACGCGTCGTTGTACCGGCGTCACCTTTTCCCTGCTCCACACCACCATCACTCCCGCAATCTCTACCACCATCCTGCTGTCCTGCGTGCTCGGGGTTGCGATATGGTGTCGGGAGCCGGCGCGTGCCCACCTCAACCGGCATTGGCTTGGCCAGCAGCGTTGTGCTGCGTCGCAGTGGCCTCCGGGCTGCACGCGGCGCCGCTGTTGCCCCTGTACCGGCCCCATTTCCGTCACCATTGGCCCCACTGCTGGACGTGGAGGTGTGGGTGGTGTTGCCCATCTTGGACCCCCGCCTCATCCTGCGCGCCTTTGCCACTGCCCGGCTCCACCGCCGCCGCGCTGCCGTCTGTCGACCCCGCCCGTCACCGCCATCGCTTCCACTTCCATCAGCGCCGCTCTGGCTGTTCGCTGCACTGCCCTTGCCGCTGGCGAGCGCAACCATGGCCTGCATCTCGCCCTCCACCTTCTGCAGACGACCGAGCCCGTTGCGCAGGCTCTCCTCCAGAAACGACGCCGTGTAGGACTGCGCGTCTCCAGACACGTCCATGTTGAAATCCATGTCCCCCATTGCACGCGCCAGCCGCTCTTGTTCGTCAAGTTGCATCAGCGCCTCGTGCGCCATGGATAGGATCCTATCCTTCAGCTCCTTGCGTTTAGCCGCGCGCCGGGCCAGCCGCCGCTCCTGCTCGCGCTGCAACTGCTGCCGCCGCTGCTGTTCGCGCAGCTGCGTGTCCGTGTCCGTGCCGAAGATGGTGCGCATGACCTTGAGGTCCGGCCGCTGCTGCCAGTCCTCAAGCGTGCGGTACTCCGCATTCAGTCGCGACGTCACCTCTGCCTTGGTGCTGTCCGCGCGCGCCCGTCCGCGCGTGCGGCGCTGCGATGGTGCGCCAGCTGCTGGCGTGCCACTGCCTTCCTTCTCCTCCACGAGCGACAGCAAATCGCTCACCGTGGCCCGGCGGCGGTGCAGACCACGACGCCGACCGTTGCTGCCAGCAACACTACCATGCTGATGCTGAAGATGCTGCTGCTGGTGGGTGTTGCCATGGCGGCCATCGTGAAGGCTCTGCGTGTGTGCGCTGCGCCCCAGCGGCGTGGCTTTGCTGCTGCCGTGCGCCGTGGCAGACCCATGGTCGTGTGCACCCGTACGCCGAACAGCGCGCGGGGAGACAGAGGAGCTGTTGCGGCGGCCTTTACTGCCTTTGGGCGGATACGGGCTGCTGCCGTCACTGGACACGCTCGTGTTGGCGTTGTTGGTTGGTGTGCTTGTGCTCCTGCCCTTGGTCTGCTGGCGCTGCAGGGCGCGGCGGTGTGCTGCTTGCTCCACGCCAGTCAGCGCCCACGAGTTCACGGGGGAGGTGTCATTCCCCGCGCTCGCACCGCCGCGATCATCGCCATCACCGCTGTCAATATCGCCGTCACCCTCTTCGCTGAAACTTGGACTCGGCGGCACGGATGACACGTTCACGGGCGGGCCGTGCAAGTTGGGCGTGCTGCGCGTAACGCCAACGTTGCGACGGAGCGCAGGGCTGTCATGGTGATGGTGGTTGTTGCTGCCGCTGCCGCCGTTGTTGTTGTTGTAAAGGTTGGTGGTGCCAGTCTTCTTGAGCGACCCCATGATGCGCGTAACACGCTGCCGTGACTCGTGCTCCTGTTGGATATCGCGGTAAAACTGCGACTTTGGCAGCTGGTTAAGGTACGACGCCATGGCTTGCTCCGTCTCCGCCTGCTGTCGTCGTTGGTCCTCAACCACATGCGTGTTCTGCTGCTTCTGCTGCGCTGCGCGGAGCACACGTGCGCGTGCTGCCTCCTCCTTGCGCGCCTGTGCTTCTTCCCGCTCCCGCTGCTGCTTGCGCTGGCGCGCCACCTTTGCGCGCAGGGCCGTCGCATACGCCTCCTTCGCGTCCGCAACCGCATCTGCGCGCTCAGCGAGGATCTCGTCTGCCCTGTCCTCGCTCGGCAGGTCGACTTCCAGCTGCAACCGCGCGCGTGTCGCTGCCGCATTTGCCCGCTGCCGCTCGCGAATGCGCTGGATAAACGCGGCGTTGCGGTTGTCGATGCGACGTGCGCCTGCAGACCCGCCGCGCGCACGCTCGGCCCGTGACACCCTGTGCAAGGCCGCCTCAATCACGTGCGGTGGGAGGCCCATCACCTTGTCGCGCGAGAGGGTGGCAAGCTGGCGCGTCGCTGCGCGTACAGATGACGATGGCGATGATGGTGAGTGTCCGCGCGGGGTTTGGTGCTCGTCGCCATGGTGCAGTTGGTGTTGGTGTTGGTGCTGGAGGGTGTCGTGGCGCTGCAGTGCATCCTGCAGGGTCTCCTCCGTGTGCTCGAGGTGATCGCGAATGGCTTCCAGGATGGCCTCAAACTCGTCGTCTTCAATGGTGACGACCGATTGCGTGTCCATGGGCAGACCAATGCCCGCGTGCGAGCCGCGTGTGAGCGCAGACATCTCTTGCATCGCCCTCTCTGTCTATCTGTCTATCTGTCTTGCTCCCGGCAGGGCAAGTCAAAGGCGGCCTGATGTAAAGCGAAGAAGAGAGAACAGAAGAGGATGAGGAACACGAAGTGTGTGTTTGGGGGAGGGGTTGTGGATGGTGAGTGAGGATGGTGAGTGCTGCGCAGCAAAATGCGTCGACGGACACACGGGAATGGGGGGTGGGTGAGAAGGAAATGAACAGTGGACACAAACACAGAGGGGTGCATGAACAGACAAACTAACGCAGACAGGCAGTGAAGGAGGTGTACTCGATCGAGAGACGTGGACAGAAGGACAATGGGGTGGGGGCGCAACAAATGGCGCGCCGCGCTGTCGGAATAAGGTGTACACCAAAAGGGCGGTGGATGAGGAGGAGGGAGGAGGAGGAAGCAATTTGAAAAGAAGCACAGGGGAAGGAGAAGAACAACGGCCGAGAAGAAGAACGGAACAAGGAAGGTACACGCAATACAGATGCCATCGACTTTGAACAAAGGGTACTTGTGTGTCTCAACACAACACAATAGTGAATGTAAGAAACAAAGGTGTGAGGGTACAACCACAGAAGCGAACGTCAACAAACACGGCACGCCCACTGCCACATGTCATCATGACGTGTGTAGCATGATGTCGTGTGCATGTGAGTTGTACACATCGCAGTGCAAGCGGCTTCAGCACCGACGTTGTGTTACATTACAAAGACACGCCCCATGGCTGACAAGGGAAGGAAAAGGAACGGCAGAGCACGACCGCCGTCGCGCCGACTTCACAAGAAAGGCACAAGGGAAGAACAGGCAGAAGCGCACGCATGCTCAAAGGACCATGCTGGGTGAACGGAACGAAACATAGAAAACGCACGCGAAGGCAAGGGAGGGTATGGGGGTGGGACAGCACATCATCGCGAACACGTATGAATGTTTGTGTCAACTGCCACTCATTATGCACACGCACACACACACACACACACACACACACACACACACACACACACACACACACACACACACACACAGATAAAGAGATGTGTACGTACTTGATTGGCGTGCTTCGTTCTCAAGCACAGCGCGATACAATACGAAAGGTGGTAGGTGCTCGTGATTGTTTGAGTCGCTCGTGCGTTTGGTGTGCTCGTGCGGTGTTGGTTGGTGTCAAACAAGCAAGGATAAGCCGTGAAATGGAGACTGTTGAGAGGTGGCGTCGCGATGTGTGTGTTGTGTGTTGTCAGTGGCGAGTCTGATCAGTGGTGTGGCGGGATGAAAGGAGGACGGGCCAACCAAGTGCGGCTAGGCTGAACCTAACACGCGTTTGCCACTTGTTGCGGCTGCTTGCAGTTGTTGCGGTGGTGCTTGTTGCTGCTGGTTTCTGTTCGTGTTGTTGGTGCAGCTGTTTCTGGAAGGGGTCGTGATGTGATGGGTGTGCGAGTCCCGCCAAGTCGAGCGAGGAAGTAATTGAGTGTGGCCTTGGCAGGGTGCGTGGAGTTTGGTTTGACCCGTCAAACACGCACGTGCATGCGCAACTCCGTGCAGATGTGGCTGCGTTGTGTTGCTTGCGCTTGGCTGCTGCGGTGCGGTTGTGCTGCCGTCGTCAACAAATGCCCATACGCAACTCCTCCCCTTTCTTGCTTGCTTGAGAGAGCAGAGGAGCGCGCTCGCCTCTCTCCAACTTTGGCTTGTGCGCTGAGTTCGCTTCCTTTGGTGCTTTGTTGTGTTGTGGTGCTGTTGTGGCATTCCGCGGCACCTGACAACAGGGATACGGAAAATCCAACAGCATCTCCAACTAATTATCGGTGACGCCTGACACGGGCGAAAGGAGGCAGAGTGACAAAGGAAGACTCGGCATTGTTGAGGGGACGGACAGAGGGGTGCTCGCTTGATTGCGCAGCGCAGAGTTGGACTTGCGTCATGATCTGGCCATTGTTGCGCGTTGCAGCACAGATAAAAAAGGTCTGCTGGAGGAGGATTATTTGAACATTCCAACATTTAGAGGAGCAGCCCATCGTTCTTCCACTCCTCTTCCTCTCCAGTCCTCAGGACCTACACCCCTGCCTAGCCACCAGGCTGTCAGTGAAGATGTGTGTAGACTAGAAGTCTCGAGGAAAACACAAAAGGTCAGCCCGTTAGCCAGAGAAGCGGAGACTGTAGGACTGATCAGTCGACGAGAAATAGAAGAGGACTGGACTATTGGCTGAGCAGAGGCTGAGGTCGTTGAGGTGGGGTTGGGAGGGCTGGGGTGAGTGAGGAGGAGGAAGATTAAGAGGCCCAGGCTAACTGATGTGAAAGATTGAAGGGACTGAAGGGAGACCCAAGGAGCCAAAGCGTCACGTTGGCGCCCTGCTGTTGCGTGCAGTGTGTCGCAGAATGCTTGCGGGTGTTGGAGCCAATTTTCCCCACAAAGCACAAAGGCACATCGACACAAGCTTCCTCACGCAAATTCACACGCAAGCACACCACACACCACTGGCATTTCTGATCTCGTGTGTCGTTCAGCAGTGTCTGGCTCGAAGGTGTTTGACGGGGATCACTGTCTTTCACACGGAAGTATTTGCGACAGCCATCATTGCAACAATTCGCCTTCGTTCAGAGGAAAGACACACAGCAATGTGTGACCGGTGTTGGTGACGTCGGGACTGCCATGTTGGTGGTACGTTAGCAACTCTCGGTTGCTAAAACAGGCAGGTTGTTTTGCTGGCAGGTACAATAGTCCAAAAAGAGGAAGTCGGGGCGCGAAATTGGCAGGGGGTGTGTCAGGCTCGCAAGCCTCTGAGTGGCCGCCGCCTTTCATGCTTTCTGGTGATACTTGCAGCACATTTTCCACGAGACAGTTGTACGACGCGTCAGAAGTGTGAAACCGCGACGACCCTAAAGATGCTCCCCGCGATTGTCGCGGCTTGCGCTGCCTCTGGCATCGCAATGTTGTACTTCACAGGCTTGACCTTTCGACCTCAAGGTCCTGCGTGCACAACCCTTCATGGGCAATACATCCCACAGCTGTATGTTGGCCCAAAGTACGTGGATATGGAAGAGCAGTTTATTGGTCGTGCAAAGCAGGCTGACTTGGACAAACCGTACCACATTGAGCAGTTAGTTCCAGCCAACATGCACCACAGGTCGGACACACTGGACCTTTCAGCGGTGGGTGATGACGCTCAGCCAAAATGGTGGATGAGCCACTTCCTTGCTGCTTGGAATGGCAGAGTGACCAACGCCGAGCTTCTTAAATGCCTGACCAGCCTCAACCAAGACCACAGTGATCTGGTTACAGCCGCACAAGCGCTCCTCGGTCATGGTCAGACCCTTCGACAAGTTGACACGACCACCGCCTCAGTTGTCCAGGAGGCAGTTAAGCATCTGCATGACAAATTGGCACATGCTGCTGCACTTGCTGATCTCACATACCAAGTCACATACGAAGGCCTGACAACTGGCTTGAAGTCACAATTGGACCATCAGGAGCGCATTAAGTCAGTTGTGGAAGGCGACTCAGACACCGATTATGGGAAGCTCACCCTTAAGAACGGTTCAACGCGTGACGCTACTTTTGCGGAGTTCCTGCTTGGGCGGTCATGGGCATGTATTGAAACGAGCCAACATCGACATGCTGTGCTTATCGGTACCAAAGTTGATATGCCTCATCGATGGGTAGATGAGGAACCAGTCTTGCATAACAGTGCCAAAGCCCCGTCGGAGTTAAACGACGCTGGCCTCGAGTTCAACATCGCTGTTCGAGGCAGTTACCCCCCAACCAAGATGAACATGGCCATGTTAAACGACTGGCTTGGTGGGAACCTGCGGATGTGTCCTCACACCGAGCCTGCTGGTGGAATACTTGGCAATACCGAAGCGGTTCGTATCCATCGCGGTTACTTCGAGCGATTTCAGTTACTGTGGCCCAGCATCCGTGACCATGTGGCCGAGCGAATGGAACAGATAAAACCGGTCAATGCATGTCGCTGTCCTGCTTTCGTCGTTGTTGGCCATAGTCAAGGAGCAGCACTTGCAACCCTAATCAGTCTGGCTATACACGAGCATTTCAAAGAAGCTCGCGTCTTTCTATTCACGTTCGCCTCCCCCGCCTTTATGGACAAGAACCTCATACCCCAAACCAGCATCCGTCACTTTCGGTTTCTGATTGACTCAGATCCAGTGCCAAGGCTCCTGGAACGGGTGGGAATGCAGCACAATCAAGTGTATGAAATCAGTCTCTCTGGAGATCGGACAGGGGTTTCAAACGGACTGAAGGCTCACAGTGCATATGTCACATTACTTCTTGACCTTGCTGAAAAGTTTAAGGACACACAACATTGGATCAACGAATAAGCTTGAGGTCTTTGGGTCCCGTGACGACGATGGAATACTTCGTCTGTGTTCGTTCTTGCTTGCCGAATGTCGCTCCCGAATTCCTGGCATTCCATCTGTTTGATGTGACACCTGCTGGCTTCGCGTCGTGCTCTTGTGGTGTGTCCTCTCAACCAAGCGATCTGTATGTTGAAGTATATGGGTCTGTAAAGACCAAAGTTTCAAGTGTAAGTCGTTTCATGTTACTTGGCCTTTCGTCAAGAGACCTCAAATGCCCAACTTCATTGAACGCTCATTTCGCTTTGGAAACAGAATGCAAACACCAACACGTTCGACCACACACAATCGCAATTGCACCTTTGAACGCTGTCGCGAGCAACAACAGCGCTGCAATCTGCGACGACAGCATCAGCAGTGTGGAGAGAGCTGGAGGTCGTGGCGGCATTGATATTATGGCACTGATGCACTCTCTCATGAACGAAAACCACAACACATGCACCCACAAGCTCTTCTGCTCTTGGACATGACAGTGGCGGCTGCTCATCGTCAGGAGAAGTGGTGGCGGCGTGGTTGATGGTGTTGTGATGTGATGTGAGGCAACGCCTTCTGAAAACAAGCACAAAGCAACAAGACAAGTTGTGATGATTTTTGTGGCGTCGCGGGCAAGGCACAGCTCCCTCTTGTTCCCACGAGCACATCATGTCAGAACACATGGTGATGCACATGCGGATGCATGCTCCAAGCAGCGACACAGACGCAGGCTATCCACCTTCGCGTCCACCGCTAAACAAGCGAAAGCAGTACAGAAGCATGCCACCACATTAGCCATCACAGAACACATGGACCTGTCACGCAGCGATTTCACGACCATAACGCTCGGCAGTACCGTGTCTGTTGGCGGCGACATTAAGTTTCGGATCAGCGACACGTTGACCAGCATTGACCTCGGCAGCTTGCAAGAGCTGGGCGGTGTCATGGACGTTAGCGAGTTGCAAAACCTTGAGGCCTTCGACATGGGCCAACTGACAGTTCTGGAGCAGGACCTTGAGGTCAACTCCCCAAAGCTCACGTCCGTTGACCTTGGCGCGCTGACAAGAGTGAATGGCAGCATCACACTGTATCGGAGCTTGTTCAGCATGTTCACCACACAGCAACTGGAGCGTGTCGACAGAGACGTGAGAATTTGGCGATGCGACTCTTTGCTCAGCATTGATCTCAGTGGCTTGCAAACGTTGGGAGGTGACCTGTCCTTACAGTACTTACCAAGGCGTGAAGCAGTCATCCTGGGCAACTTGGCAACTCTTCCACACAATGTGAAGGTCCACTCTGCCGCGCTCAAGCGCGTTGATTTTGGCCAGTTGACAAGGGTGGAAGGAGATATTTCTTTTTCCATTGTAACCAAGCTGACAACGCTGGACCTTCAGCGCATTGAGTACGTGGGTGGCTCGCTTCTTGTCAGTCAGTGTGCCCAGCTCACTACAGTTGACTTCAATCACTTGCGAACCGTGGGCGGCCGTGTGGACCTCAGCTCCCTGTCGAGGCTGGAGGAGTTGCGCATGGGCAAGCTCGCAGCCCTTTCACGTGGACTCAGTGTGGCCAATGCCCAACTCACGCACATGGACTTTGGTGAGCTGACGCATGTTAGTGGCAACGTTGACCTGAGCAACAACCGCTTGACAACAATCGAGCGTGGGCGACTGGAGGTGATCACCGGCAATCTCGACGTGCGGGGTAACCCGCTGAGCTCCTTCGATAGCGATGTGTGGAACACAATTGTTCAAGGGCAGGTGTTCATGTGATGTTGTGCTGGTTGTGTGTGTGTGTGTGTACATTTGTGTTGATGTTCGTGTGTGCGATGGGTGCTGTGTGCGTGTGTATGCTCATGTATTTGTGTGTGTGTGTGTGCGTGTGTGTGTGTGTGTGTGGGGGGGGGGTGTTCTTCCTCATTGTGCGTTGTTGCTTCTTTTGGCTTGAATTGGGTCTTTGTGCATGGGTGAGTGAGGATGCCTTGAAGCAGTAGAAGCAGTAGAACATGAGAACACCTCTGCACCTGTAGCCTGTCGCCAACATCTCTCCGTGTTATTAGCATGTCACTTGTTCCCGTTTCATGTCATCGCTGACTGTTTACCCACTCTCAAGACAAAGCAAGAAGTGTGTTCCCTTTGGCAATGCATGACTACATATGCAAGCAGGCAAGCTGCACAAAGGCTAGGCACAACTCCACAACAACATCCGCAGACACAACAGCTCGGCAGTGGTCGCACTGACTGTGCTGGAATATTTGCTACGTTTTCCTTGATTTTTCTCCATGCACAGCCACACAAACAACAACCCCACAACAACACCAACACCAACCACTCATTTCCAGCACAACATACACACCATCACACACCATCCACACGACACACAACCACCCAGCGACGATGGCGACGCCGGAAGCAGAAGATACGCGGGCCTTCACCTGCCCCATAACATTGGAGTTGATGACCGATCCCGTGGTTGCAAGCGACGGCAACACATGTGCGTGTGTGCGTGCGTGTGTTGGAGGAGGGAACATTGTGGTGAACGAACTGCGCGTTTTGGCTTTGGTTTGTCACGCGTCTGTCCGCACTTGGGTTGTTAGTCTGTGGCACACGCAATTTGGCTCACATGTGCCATCTCGTGTGTGCGTGTTGTGTGTTTGTGTAATGTGTGTGTGTGTGTGCTGTATGTTGTGTGTTGTTGTGTGCTGTATGTTGTGCATCCACACAACACACACACAACACATACACAACACACGCAACACAAAACACACACAACACGCACACAACACAAAACACGCAACACAAAACACACACAACACACACACAACACAAAACACACACACTCATACATTCTCGCAACACAACACACAACCCCCCCCCCACACACACACACCCAACACACGACACGAACAGATGAGCGCGCGGCAATTGAAGATTGGATGCGCCGGGACAAGCGGTCGCCGCTCACGCAGGAGATGCTGAGGGATGAGCTCACCCCTAACCGAAACCTGAGGGATGCCCTTGAGGCCTACATCAGGGCAGCGCAGCAGCAAGGCAGCCAGCGACAAGGCCATCGTGGCGACGGCGACGGCGACCAGGAGGAATCAGGCACACGTACACCAACGCCCACGTCCTCCACATCACCGCTCACAGCGGGCAGTGCTGCAACTGCATCGCGCGTGCCCCTGGCAATGACGCCGGAGCAGCCTTCCTCCTTGCGCACCATCCGGCCCAAGGCGCTGGCGCTCCTTGATCGCCTGACGGATGTCAGCTCGGGCATCGACTGGAGCCCGCCGCAGATTGTCATCCTCGGTGGCGAGAACCATGGCAAGAGCACGACCATGGAGCGGCTGCTTGGCCTGCCCATCTTCCCGCGCGACCGCGAGCTGTGCACCCGCGTGCCCATTCGCGTGCAGCTGCGCCGCGGCGTTGCGCAGGCGCCCACCATCACCCGCCGGGAAGTCCAGGAGGGCGACAGCACGACCACACCCCACGACCAGCGGCGCACAGGGGGTGGCAGCAGTGCGCAGGGCACACACCGCCCGCAGCACTTCACCGTGCAGCAGATGCTGACGCAAGTACGGCAGCACATGAAGGACATCTTGGAGCAGCTCAACGCGGAGGGTGCACCCGGCGACGAACCACACGGCGTGTCGCTGCACCACGAGATTGTGGTGCGTCTGCAAGGGCCCACCTACCCGGAAATGGACCTCGTTGACCTGCCCGGGCTGGTGGAGACGAGCGCTACAGAGCCAAGCATGCCCGAGCACACGCGCAAGCTGACCAGCCGCTACCTCTCCGCCCATGGCGACCACTCCATGTTCCTGGTGGTGCTGGACGCGTGCCTGGCGATGAACCAGGCGCGCGCGCTGAGCCTCATCCAGGAACACAACCTCCTCGACTCGTGCATGGGCGTGCTGACCAAGTGCGACCTGGTGCGCACGGAGAGCGACGACGAGACCGTTGCGGACGTCATCAACGAAAAGTTGAACCCGGCCAACCGGTCCCACGTGCCCATGGGCTACGGGTGGTGCCTGCTTGCCAGTCGCTCCTCGCCCAAGTTTGACCCCACCGCCGTGCGCGGTGCAGAGTACCTGCAAACGCTCAAGACGGTGCAGGTGAACGAGCGCAAGCGGTTCGAAAGCAACGTGGATCTGGAGGGCGTGCAGCCCGTGTGGGGCATCGACTACATGTGCCGCCGCCTGTGTGACAAGTACACGCAGTATCTGTACGAGCACTGGACCCCGCAGGCCATTGCCCGCCTCTCCACCAAGCTCGACGCCCTGGAGGAGGACGTGCGTGCGCTCGGCATCCCCTTTGTCAAACCCCCATCCCCACGCCAACAGCAGCAACAGCAGCAGCAGCAGCAGCAGGGTGAAGGGGGCAGCACGAGTGGTGGAGACGGTGCCAGCAGTGGCGCCGATGGTGGTGGCGGTGGTGGTGGCGGTGGCGATGATGATGATGATGCGGATGTGTCGCTGCCGTGCTTCGCGCCGCATGTGGATGTGATGGGTGCGGTTGAGCTTGAGGGCTCCCTTCGCGCCCATTTGCAGCGCCAGCTCGAAACCAAGTGCGAGTACCACGCCGTGTGCGAGAAGTGGCTGCTGCGCGCCCTGCGGCCCCTGCGAATGGCACTGCACGTGGTCGGTGGCAGCAGCAACAACAACAGCGCCATGTTTCTCGATTCGTTCCAGAGCGCACGCCGCCGCGTTCACGAGCGCACAGCCACGCTGCAGGCGTCCCTGGAGACTGTGGCGGCGACCCTGCAGGGGGCGCTCGACGCACCGTATCACCCTGTCGCCGAGGAACTGGTGCAGACGCTGCAGTCGAGCGATGTGTCGGCGTGGCGGCTGCAGCGGTTCACGGCGCTGGCCCAGGACATGAAGCGGGCGCTCGCTGCGTCCCTGAGCACGTGGACGCGGGCGTGCGTGTCCGTTGTGCGCGCCGCACAGCATTGGGTGGTGCACTGCCGCCAGCAGGTGCCCACGACGCAAGCGCTTGCTTCCACAAGCGGCAGTGGCAGCGATGGCTCACAGGAGCCGGTGAACTGGTTCGCGTCCTTCCTTGCGTTGCAGGACCCGCAGGTGACGAGCATGTACAACGCGGTGCTGTCGGCATGCACGACCGCGTACGACAACACGGCCGTTGGTCTGGCCATGCCGACGCAGATTGACATCACGGACGCGACAGAGAAGCAGCGCTACGTGATTCTCGTCACCATGAAGGAGCTGCAGAGCGCAAAGCACCAGCTCGAGGCCCTTCTCGCCACCGCCCCGCAACCAGCGGCCTGATTGTCGTGTGTGTGTGTGGGGGGGGGAAGGGGGTTGGGTTGGATTGGATGTGTGTGATTGTGTGTGTGTGATTGTATCGTGTGGTTCGCTTAACACCCCTTTGTCCTAAACCCCATACCCCACGCCCAACAGCAGCAGCAGCAGCAGCAGCAGCAGCAGCAGCAGCAGCAGCAGCAGCAGCAGCAGCAGCAGCAGGGTGAAGGTGGCAGCACGAGCGGTGGAGACGGTGCCAGCAGTGGTACCGATGGCGGTGGTGGTGGTGGTGGTGGCGATGATGATGATGATGCGGATGTGTCGCTGCCGTGCTTCGCGCCGCATGTGGATGTGATGGGTGCGGTTGAGCTTGAGGCCTCCCTTCGCGCCCATTTGCAGCGCCAGCTCGAAACCAAGTGCGAGTACCACGCCGTGTGCGAGAAGTGGCTGCTGCGCGCCCTGCGGCCCCTGCGAATGGCATTGCACGTGGTTGGTGGCAGCAGCAACAACAACGGCGCCATGTTTCTCGATTCGTTCCAGAGCGCACGCCGCCGCGTTCACGAGCGCACAGCCACGCTGCAGGCGTCCCTGGAGACTGTGGCGGCGACCCTGCAGGGGGCGCTCGACGCACCGTATCACCCTGTCGCCGAGGAACTGGTGCAGACGCTGCAGTCGAGCGATGTGTCGGCGTGGCGGCTGCAGCGGTTCACGGCGCTGGCCCAGGACATGAAGCGGGCGCTCGCTGCGTCCCTGAGCACGTGGACGCGGGCGTGCGTGTCCGTTGTGCGCGCCGCACAGCATTGGGTGGTGCACTGCCGCCAGCAGGTGCCCACGACGCAAGCGCTTGCTTCCACAAGCGGCAGTGGCAGCGATGGCTCACAGGAGCCGGTGAACTGGTTCGCGTCCTTCCTTGCGTTGCAGGACCCGCAGGTGACGAGCATGTACAACGCGGTGCTGTCGGCATGCACGACCGCGTACGACAACACGGCCGTTGGTCTGGCCATGCCGACGCAGATTGACATCACGGACGCGACAGAGAAGCAGCGCTACGTGATTCTCGTCACCATGAAGGAGCTGCAGAGCGCAAAGCACCAGCTCGAGGCCCTTCTCGCCACCGCCCCGCAACCAGCGGCCTGATTGTCGTGTGTGTGTGTGGGGGGGGGAAGGGGGTTGGGTTGGATTGGATGTGTGTGATTGTGTGTGTGTGATTGTGTGTGATTGTGTGATTTTGTGTGTGTGTGTGATTGTGTGACTGTGTGATTGTGTGTGTGTGTGTGTGTGTGTGTGTGTGTGTGTGTGTGTGGTGTGTGTGTGTGTGTGTGTGTGTGTGTGTGTGTGTGTGTGTGTCACTGTGTGTGATTGTGTGTGTGTGTGTGATTGTGTGTGTGTTGGACTTATGCATTGTTGAAGGGTTTGCGGCCTTTCACGCTGTTCTCTTTCCTGTTCTTTCCACAACTGCACGTGTTCATGTGCACTGTTGCCCTGACGTTGTTACATTGCATTGCGTTATTGAAACCCAATGGTGATGGCTATGTTGTCAGCGTGGAGGCAAGCTGCACAGCAGCAGGGGAGGTGAGACGTTGACAGCAGTGAGCGGCAAACGCGAACACAAGCAAAAGCCAGCACAACAAGCGAACACATTTTGTGGTGTCGCGAACAGTTCCTCAACTGGGGCAACGACGCATCGTCCACCACCATCCATGATGAACACGGCCGGTCGTCAGGAGTCGAGCAACCTCGCGAGCAGTGCGAGGAATGAGGCGCGGGAGGACATGGCCGTGTCGGCTGTTCCGTCCAACACCGTCATCTGCTCGTTGGAGCAGGACTTTTTCACAAACAGTGCAGCTTTTTCACAAACAGTGCAGCAGAGGTTCGCCTTGCCACGTCATGTTGCGGTTGCTGATTGTTGATCATTGATGCATGAGCGTTGATGGCCGTCGTTTAGCGATTCAAGAGTGCGCGCGCGCACACACATGCATGCATGCTCATATGCGTGTCTAACACTGCCTGGTTGTTTCTTGGACCACCCACGACGCACTCGGCAGATGCAGCTCATGTCAAGAGCAGAAGGGTGCGGCGAACTGAATGACATCATCATCAGCGAAGGTACATTTGCGTGTGCACGTGTGCGGTTGTTCCTTCATGTGTCTGTGCACGTGTGTCTGCCCTTGTGTATGCGCGCGCGCGCGCGTGTGTGTGTGTGTGTGTGTGTGCATCCCACTACGTGTGTGTGTGTGTGTGTGTGTGTGTGTGTGTGTGTGTGTGTGTGTGTGTGTGTATGCGTGCATCCCACTACGACCACCACCACCACCACCACCACCACCATGGACGTGTTGCGCGACTCACGCAAGCTGCGCATGCACTTGCAGAGGAATGCAAGATCAAGTTCATCTACGAGAAGCAAGAAGATGCCGTGAAAGCGCGATTGAAGCTGCACGGCTTTGTATTCCATGGCCACGAGATTGACACGGATTTCGGCCAGGTACGTCACGCACGCGCAAGTGTGAGTGTGTGAGAGAGAGAGAGAGAGAGTGTGTGTGTGTGTGTGTGTGTGGTGTGGACGTGTGTGTGTCTGTGAGTGAGTGAGTGAGTGTGTGTGTGTGTGTGTGTGTATGTGTGTGTGTGATCGCGAGTATGATGTTTCGTGCGATGCGCCTCTTCCCAATATCGCTGCCGCTTGCTGGCTCACCTTTACACTTGTCCCCAACACACATGGCAGGCCTTTGATGTGAACCCGCCCCAAATGTCGTACCTCAAGGTACCGGAGCCGACGAAGCAGTTTCTCATCTCTCCACCTGCGTCTCCACCCATTGGCTGGGAACCAGGCACGGAGTCACCCCCAGGTACGCCACATGAGTGTGCGTGTATGTGTGTGTGTAGTTGAGAGAGGGCTGTTTTGTCTCCCACTTTGTGATTGCATGCATGTCCTCGCACCTTCTCTCTACATTCACCAAACCCCTCTTCCTCTCACGCCCCTTCACATCCCCTTTTGCTTGGTGCAGTGGTGAACCACGCGCTAACCGATCGGTTGTTGACGCTGAAGAACGACCCATACTTTGTCCTGCATG